GGGGGGCTGGCCATGGCACCCCCCACCCGGCTGGCACCCGGGGCGGACCGCCCCCCCCGATTCCCCTTAGTACGCCACTGGCCTATGCTGACTTCATTATGTTACGTAGCTCATACTTTAAACAAACATAAAATCAATGCATAATAACAATCATAGTAGAAAATATAAATACAAAATTTCATAACTTGGGAAAGTTATTCCAGTGCATTTAGTTCATTTTCAGATTTTAACTTTCTGTTGTGATCTGTCAGCAAGTTTTACTATAAATCAGGACACAAATAAAACAAATTTCTGCTTATTTTTTGTTAAATAATGAATAAACATGTGAAGTTACAGTATAGCTCAGTGTTGGAATGTCTCAATGGTAATCACCAGACTTCTACTGCCATGGGCTTGCAGTTCTATCCAGATCTGTACCATGACCCGAGATCTCAGGGGCAATTCATAATGTAGACCACATGCAAATTTTTTGTAAAACCGGTGCTTTGTGAATATTTGAAATCCTACATTTTGTATAGGATTTGGAGGCAAAAATCACAGATTTATAACAAACACTAAATGTATCGGGTGACTGTTAATGTGAGAATTGTCATTCTGGTTGAACTTCAGGCAGTCATTGTTGAATAGCCCTGGGAATGTAGTACAGAATTCACATCAAGTTCCACGAAACATAAATCTGCTGCAAAAGTAACACAAATATAATTTATTGCAAAGCTAAATTGTATATTTATTAACTTTAGAAGCTGTTATACTTAGTTACTAGCTGTCCATCATTCCAGGGCTGCAATTCTCTGACTAATGCCAGACCCCACAATGCCATTATTTGTCATTCCACTGGTTTTTCAACCCCAAACTAGCTCACCTCCAGCATTTTTCAATCAAGACCTATGGGGATATATAATACATTCCGAATGACCCCGTACCAAATGGGACAAAACCATCTAGCTGCATACAAGGCCATTCAGAAATTGTTTATGCTATTTAACATTCAGGGCTGTCTTAATGAATGGAGATAGGGGACAGTTGTCCAGGAGCCACACAAGCATAGGAGCCACATAGGCTTGACAACTTTTCAGCACATTATTCTGGGAGATTTATTCAGAACCTTCAAACCCTCTGTAGTGGAGCCCTAGTCCTAGCAGGGACTCTCCTCGGCTAGTTACTCCAAAATATACTCTGGAACAAGTATAACACTCCAATGGAACAGCCAAACATCGTAAAATAATCCAGTAATCTCTCACCTCATCCCTAGCAACTGGATGACACTCAGCTCTGGGGGTATAACTGGTTTTAATGGAGCCACACACAGCCTTTTGTGTGAATCCACATGCAAGGGGTTTACTGATACATATACATTAATCCTGTGACTTGGCTATTGGTTTTTGCTTCCCTGATTTTTGGTTTCCCTGACTCTGCTTGTCCCTGACTATTCTATATCTAACAATGTTTAAGCCTGGCAAATCTGAGGACCAGTATACATTGTCATATCTATTATCATATACTAACTGCGTGTTGGGTCACTAGGTATTATGACATTACAACAGGGCCAATGGACCCTGCAGGTACAAGCCCTCAAGGGGCATCATATGATAATAGATTTAAGGAAATGGACCATTGTATGGACCAAATTGCCCTTGCCTTGCACGTCCATCAACTTGCCAATGGAACACGTCCATCAACTTTGACATGTCCATCAACTTTGTCAATGGAACGTAAAATCCTCCAGCTCCTTATGGTGCCACTGTGCACGTGACTTCACCTTTACACTACTTTGGAGCGCCTGATTCTTGTTGCAGTTTTCTTTAAACCAAATAAGAATTCTATTTGAGTTACAAACTAGAGCTTATCCCACAGGTTTCAACATTACCTCATTAGTCAATAAGGAATGGACTTGGGCTAATCCCTTGTGGGGGAATGATAACCCAATAGTTTAAAACTATACCACCTTTATTGAGGCCTTTAGGAGGACATTTGATTCTTCAGGTAGTAAAGCTAATGCTGCCAGAACTCTTCTGCGACTTAGACAAGGTAACTGTTCTTTGGTTGAAAAAAACATAATACATGTGGGATTCAGCTGGTATACCTAAAAAAACAATTAATAAAAAAGAACATAGCATAATATAGTTTGTGGAAATATAATATTCCCTTCTAAAGGTTGCACTCACGAGAATTAGAAGTAATATGCGCTCTAAGGGTGCCTCCCCCGATGTCTTGGGGGCTAGTATCTATAAAAAGGAAATCTGGTCTTACGCGTTTCTTCCCACTTATGGGACTCCCTCAGAGACCAATATTCTATAAAACAGTTTTGACAATAATGCTCCCAAAAAAGCAATCTAATTCCACCCTACCATAGGTCCCATTAAATAGGGCTAATCCCTTCAGTGCATTGGTGGTTCCAGTGGGTGCCTTCTCTTTCATCCATCCTATTGGTGGTTCTCAGATCATTTTCACCTGTTTCTTGATTGAGAATAGTTGATATTATAATCACAGCTGATCGCCATTCTGAGATCGGCGAAACCGTAAGTGACGTATCAAACATACTTCCGTGCATTCCAACTTGCGTTCCAGCCGTGTGTTCCACTGTAGATTCAGGAAGTGGATTGTTTTCCCACTGGTGTTCTCCAAGGGGATCAGTTATGACAGTTAAAAACTAAACTCTGATCGATTAGAGAGTTATATCTAAATAGAAAGGCATCATTAGAACACTTGTTTGATTTAAATGAAACACATAAGATATATAGTCTCTAAATTTACAATATGTAAGCTAATTCTAGATATTCTCATTATGCTAGCTTATCTTTACAATGAGTTCCTATAGTGAAAATATAAATACCAATTAATATTAAAATTAAAATATTGCCACATATATCCATTTCTTTTGGAACCATCCCTATGATAATCAACTTCTGGGGTCTTACATCAAGATTTTTTTCATAATGTTTTAAAAGACTTTATATCTACCAAAATCCATATATATATTCTTTAAACTAATCATTTATATTGAGAGGAAAAAACATGATTTATTTTAAAATTAAAGGATCACTATAGGGTCAGGAACACAAACATATATTCCTGACCCTATAGTGGTAACACCACCATCTAGCCCCCCTGGGCCCCTCATGCCTCCATAAATATAGCAAAATCTTACTGTATTCAAGCCTGAAGCTGTAACTCTGCATGCTGTTAGACTCAGAAAAACAAGCAGTCTGCTGACATCATCAGAAGTGGTAGCCTGATCCAATCACAATGCTTCCCTATAGGATTGGCTGAGACTGACAAAGAGGCAGATCAGGGGCAGAGCCAGCATTATTCAAACACAGCCCTGGCCAATCAGCATCTCCTCATAGAGAGGAATTGAATCAATTAATCTCTATGAGGAAAGTTCAGTGTCTGCATTCAGAGGGAGGAGATACTGAATGTTTGGATGCATTTTAGGCAGCCATGACCCAGGAAGGATCTCTAACTGCCATCTGAGGAGTGGCCAGTGAAGTTATCACTAGGCTGTAAGGTAAACACTGCATTTTCTCTGAAAAGACAGTGTTTACAGCAAAAAGCCTGAAGGTAATGATTGTACTCACCAGAACAAATTCAATAAGCTGTAGTTGTTCTGGTGACTATAGTGTGCCTTTAAATTACAGGAAATATATCAGTATCAGAAAGGTAGGGGAAGAAACTAGTCATAGAACACAATAATGAATTGAATATTTACAGAAAACAAAGTATAAAATATTTACAAAAAACAAATTAAATCTATGTCTACATTCAGTCCCCGTGGTTACAAAGTACGCAACTTATGAATTCAGAAGGTTTCTCTTTGGGACACTTTTCTGACCCTATTCCCTCTCCAATAAGGTAAACCATCTCTATATCAATACAATTAAAGTCTTTGAAGGAAAAAAAAGGGGGCATGAATTGCAATGTACGGGAACTGAATGTGACAAAAGATTTTTTAAAATATTATTAACCCCTTCAGGACGGAGTCAATAGTACACGTTCTGATCAAAACAAAACGTAAACAAAAACTGGAATTTGCGCTGTATGTCTGTTCAACCGTAATTCACCGCTGTTACATTAAGTGCACCCACACTTATTATATATCATTTTGTTCAGGAGAAACAGGGATTTAATTTATCATTAACTATTCATATATGGAACATCATTTATTATGAATAAAATTTAAAAAATTTGAGAAAATAAGATTTTTTTTAAAATTTGTATTTCCGTCTGATACTTTAGCTGTGAATGTCATAATACTGTTGGGTTTTACTGCAAAAAAATGCACATATTTGTAATCAGCGATGTCTCACGAGTACAACAGTACCCCCCATTAACAGGTTTTATGGTGTTTTGGAAAGTTACAGGGTCAAATATAGAACGTTCCATTTCCAAATTGAAATTTGCCAGATTAGTAATGTTACCTTTGAGACGGTGTGGTAGCCCAGGAATGAGAATTACCCCCATAATGGCATACCATTTGAAAAAGTAGACAACCCAAGGTATTGAAAGTGGGGTATGTTTAGTCTTTTTTTTGGAAGGGTCTCACGTCCTGTTTCTCACACATAGAAGCGCACAAAAAAATCCTATATAGATGGTATCTCACTCCACAACGGCTACACCAAATTTACCCCACCACAAACTCGAAATGCTGGAGATGCGAGTCAAAGGAGGGCAATATGACCCACATATGGTGGGAATGCACCGTGATAAAACCCCTATGGAAACATGTACAGCAAATATTGCACCAATATCTGAATTACGCATCTCCTATTACACCAACACTAGCACTG